AGTCAGACAGATTTTCTTTGGCTACTGTGACTAAAGCCAGCCCTACAAATGAGCTTCCTATAGAGAACATCCTATAGTGCCCATGGGCTAGATCCTGGCCCTTCTGGTCCTCCTGGCTTCAATGGCTCACCCAATAGCTGGTATATTTCCCATGGCCAGAAATGAATTGGCAGAGGTATAAACAGGAGGCTGGCCTTGGTCAAATAAAGAAGAGTCATCATCATGACATTATAGTCACCCTTTGGTGACATGACCAAGATGCTATCAGGCCCAATTCCTTTCTGGCCTGTACCTGGATAGCAGCATAGCTTCAAAAGACAATTTTTAGAGAATAAAATATTAAACATATAATTTTATCTTGAATGGAATACAATTTAATCATCACACAGTCCCAAAGGACCAAATATATAGTAAAAAAAAAAAAGTAAATATATAAAAAGCTGAGTACTAAAAAGGCAGGACAATGGAGAAGAAAGTAAAGTAAAAGGAAGAAAGAGAATGGAGGGGAAAGAATCATATTCTGAGGTACCCTCTACTCAACAGCAAAGCTGAACATTCCCACGTTGATTAAAAAAAAAAAAACCAACCCATCACAGGTCCTGCCTTCTTCCCCATTTCACTAAATTACATTTTTCTCATTAAATCCTAAACTACCCCAAATTCCAGCACATTTGGACTAATATATAATACAGCTAAAGCCCTCAACACTCCCAGTAAGTATTGCTGGCTTTGGCCCCCTACTGTAGAGTGAGCAAACTGTCAATGACCCCATGAACTGAGGAGTTTCCATTCTCCATTCTCAGGGTCAACTTCTCTCTACCCACAAAAGTCCATACTCAAACAACATGCTCACAAAAATGGGGAGATTTGAATTTAGGATAAGAATGGTAGAATGAGCAAAAGAAACGAGGCAGAGACAGATTGTGTTTTTGCCTTATATGTACCATCAGTTTCTCCTCAGAAGGCCAAACGTTAGTCAGGGTATCCATTTGACAAGTGTGCCCACGCAGGCCAAAGACCCTTTGGTAGCAACTTAAGAGGTAGGAATTTTTTACTGTAAAGTTGGGTTGGACAGCCTGATAGGACACATGCAGAGAGAGAGAGAGAGAGAGAGAGAGAGGGGGGGGGAAAGGAAGAAGGAAGGGCGGGAGAAAAAAAAGGAAGGAAGGGAGGAAGGAAAGGAGGAAGGAAGGAAGAAAACCACATCATATCCTTCTTGGAGGATTTGGCAAAACCGTATTAACATCACTGGAAAACTCATTTTGTTCCCTTCATTTCTTCATAACTTTGCCCAGACACAGATGCTTAGGAATGAGAATGTGGCCAGCATATGCATGGGGAGTAGCTTAAAGTTGCTAATACATTTTTCCATGAACCTCTCTCTTTGGAACAAATGGCTGAAACTGAAGCAAAGGCCAGCAATTTCCAGCTGTGCTGTGCCCACTCATCTCCAAATTTACACAGCTTCTGAGCTGCAATGTGAGAAAACAACGTAGTTTCAATATAGAATAAAAACATAGCAGGAAGGCTTGAAACAAAATGGTAGAAGGTTTATCATCTGGACACTCAGATAGTACGTTCCTCCTTAAGTACATGTCATATGCTGACCCTGTCCACAAAACCAGACTGTCCTCAAGCCAAATGGTACTTTGAGGCTCTAGTTTGGGAATCCTAGACTTGAGGATGACTTGCCTTTTTCTCCCTTTGGAGCACATAATTAAGTTTTTCTGCCCACCTTATTTATGCCAAGAAGCACAGACTAGGACACGGGATGGCTTTCTTCATGCTACCTAGCAGCATACACATTTCATTTTCAATGCCTGACCCTCCCCCTAAAGGGAACCCAGAAAACCCCAGAGGCAGTTGCAAAGATGAATGTTTTAGAACAGTGAAGACGAGCCCACATATTCAGAGACTGATCTTTTTAAAAAGGCCCCTGCTTTTCCTGTAAAGAGTTTATATTGAGACTCTAGTGCCAAAACAATTGGCCTGCTTTGCAGTTAAACCAGCAAATTAATTGTTTGCTCTGCCAGCTGGCCAATTCAAAGTCTCATCAATTCCAACTAATCCACCAGAAATGCTCTGTCCTAAGGACTACATCAGCTCTACTCTGCAGCTGGGCTGCGCCAGAACACTGGGGCCAGAGAAAGCAGGGTGCTGCAATGCAATGTGGTTATTTCTAACCAGACATAAGTAGACATGATCTTTAACAGCTATTATTACCCATTGCCAGTCCCCGTTTGCTATCTCTAATTGAGCTCACTATGCACTCTCTCTAAACTACATTAAGTTCTTCCCACTGAAGGTGTGAAGACATAAAATTTAGCAGTTAGACTTCTACCGATCCAACAACTCCCTTCATGGCTACATTTCCTCCAGATAGATTTCCTTGGAAAATTCACACTCTTGAGGCATTTATTGGTGTTCTTTTGTAAACGCTTTCCTTTTATCAGGCTATTTCCTTTTCCAGTACCAAAATAAACTTGTCTCAATTCATTTTAAAATCTTATATTGTCCAGTATTTTACCATTGAGGTATGTAGTCATTTGAGGCTATGACAGACTTCCCTATATTGGCTTTGTTTTTTCCTTTTCATTTTGTTTTGTTTTGAGGATTACCTAACTGATGAAATGGAATGGCAATGACAGGAAGAACTTCCCTTTACCTCAAGACAAGAACCACTATGTGTCCAGGTGCTAGGCTAGCAACCTTGTAGAGTACTCCAGTAAGAACCAGCCAACCATCGAGGGATTGGACATACAATGGACACGATACCCTACAGCTATTTCTGGCATACAAGCTACAAGGATTCCTGAGAGAATGAGGTTAATGAATGGTATTTCTAAGAAGTGAGGTATCAAAAGGGATATTGTCAATTATCTGGAGAGCCCATCGGTGCTTAGCATCTAGACAGTATCCATTCGCACAGTGTTATCTGATTTCTTAGATTTATTCTCTGAAGTAGCACCTTAACACTGGCTCATCTGTGTACAATGAAGAAAAAAAAACCTAGAAGGCAAATGAGACAACCCATGTCACTCCTGCTCTATGAGACATGATCAAACATTTCCTTGCCATCAAATATCAGCCATGGTAACATTTCCTGTTTGGCACACTTTGTTGAGGAAGGATCACCAATGAAATAGGTACCGACTGAACCTGAAATCCATAGACAAGAACTCTGATCTCCACATAATACACTATGTGCTCAGGCAGAGTCTCATCTCACACAAAGAATGCAGTAGCATAGAAAGAACAAGACATAAAATCACGGAGCCATGATTATGGTACCATGTACCCCTAAGCATTCTTTTTCATTAAAATGCCAGAGCAATAGCTTTAAAAGGAGAAACTCTGGTGGCTACCTTGACATAGTAAAGATTAAAAAACAAAATATGCCTTGGCTACTCAACCCTAGATAATAAAGGAATTTTTGATTTTGGAACAATAAGAACTGGGGGTAAAAAAAAAAGTCCTTGACTCAGGGATCAACAACTTTTAAAATGAGGTACACTGAGTTGCTTGGGAGGGAATGTGTCAAGTGCCACTGATTTTGAGCTAGGACAGTCGGAAGTATCAGGGACAGATTTGTAAGATGGACAAGGCCAAACTCTTACCCAACAATTTTGACCTCACTGCCATGGGAAGCTGAGACAGAAATGGAGGCATGGCAGCAGAAATGGGGCCACATGGCAAACAAGAAAGTATCACCTCTAGTCTAAGTGCTGTGAGACTGCTGAGCCTTGGCTTACAATTTGACTAGCCCAAGTAGGTATTTTTGTCATTATTAGGAATGATTAAGCATACTGCTTCATCCTAAAGAGGACTCAGTGCTGAAAAGAAAAGAAAACAGAATGGAGGGAGAGTGATTGCACATGGATAAAATGATAGAAAATGAAAGAGTGGTTGGAATGCTGGTGGTGGCTCTTGAATTCCACCAGGTGTTTCTATAATGTAATTTTCTTTTAAATTGCCACACTTGTGGTAGGAAATTGAGACAGGCACCTCTTTAACTGGGTACAAGCACCTTTGGTGTCATCAGGCCTCATCCATCCACTTAGGTTTTAGGATGGCTCTGCATTTTAGTCAGATCTGGTACCTCAAGGTAGCTGCAGTTGCCTATCCCATTCCAGTTCTTTCAATACATAGAGAAGTATTGATCTCTAGCCTACTTCTTGCTCACAGGTACAATGGCCTGTTCTGCATACCCCACACTGGGAGGAGCACAGGTGTCCAGTTATTTTAGTACTGGTGGTCTTTTCAAAGGAATGCATCAGGATGCTGATGCAGCTCTCACTCTTCCCTGCTTTATCAGTATTCAGCCTAGACTCGCTTCCATACACTGTTCTTACTTATTCCAGAAGCCTAAAGCACCATCATCCATGGAGGTGGCATCTGGGTAAGAGATTTGGTTAGGACTTCACAAAAATCCTTATCACCAACTTTGCTCAGAACTTTATCTTCAGTTCAAGAAAACCGGGAGAAATAATTCCTAGATACTAATAAATTCCTAACAAAGTCCTTGTCTACTAGCTAGCATTGCCATTTGGAAAATTAGCCTTTCTGCAGCCAAGGAGAAAGCTCTGTAACTTTGTGCACTTCAAAAGACCAGGACGAGCAGGCTTTAAAGGTCATCCCCTCTACTTCATTTGGAGGAGATAACCAGAGCAGCACTGTCTTCTCATGAAAAGGTAAACGTAACAAACTAATAACGCTAAATACTGTAACAGGAATAAGAATTTAACTGAATATTCACAGTCTAAAAAATGCCATTGCTATTTCCTTCTGGCTTTCCTTTCTGTAGCTTGAAAGGCAAAGCCCCTTAGTTCACACTTCATCTTCTACCAAGGACAGTTAGAGTCTCCCCCAACACATGACTATTTCATGAGTTTCCTGCAAACTATATTTCAGTTGGACTTTTCTTGCATAGTTTTCAGTGATTGCATATTGGCTAACAATTACTTTTAAATTAAAAAAATAATTTTAAAGAACAAACATAATTAAACCATAGCAATCTCGTTTACTCTTTCGTGAACCCTTCCTAATGCAGTATCACATAAGCCTATCTGTATTTTCTCCTAGAGAGATTCATTTCCAGAAATTATGTAGTGCAACTGGTTAACTTGTAGGAAACAGACAACACACTAATATGACTTCACCATTCAAATATGGGAAATGTGTTTTGGGTACCCAGTTAATAAAATATATCCATGGTCCGCAATGTCCTTGTTTTATATCCAAAACAACACCATGATTCTAGTTGAAGAGGATGGAATCAGGATCTTGGTTTGCCATCTGTGCTATGTGCTTTAACACATCCTTTTTGGTAATGATTCCAAGTAAGCGCCTAAAAGACAAACACATAAAACAAAACCAAAATAAATATACAGTGAAAATACTATTCTTAACTAAAAGTGATGTTTGTCCTCCTTAATCTTTCTCAACTTTGTTTTCAACATAATCTGTACTTGGAGAATGATGTGCTAACAGTAAGAGATATATATCATTCTCAGACAAATAGAGCAATGCATACATCCCTAAATACACAGACACTTCTACATCTAGGTTTCAGGTCCCACATTTCCTTCTGATTTAAATTTTACCCTCCAAACCTATACATCTTATCTACTTACTGCAGCCCTGTTCAAATGCTCCACCAGCCCCAAATACCCTTGGTCCTATGAACCAGCCGAGACTCGGCACTGCTCCCAGCAATGGCATGCTCTGTGCAGGCTCGTCCACAGTTCTTATTTGTTTTGCTTTTGCCCTATGATCTCTTGTGTATTCCTGACTTTCCTATAACCATGCATACTACTCAAGGACAGAGAAAATTTCTTTACTTTCATAGCTCCCAGAATCTCATGGAGATGAGTTAGGGTTTCAGTAAACACTACCTTCTAGAAAGTGTACTTACTGACTTAGCAGTTGAAAGTTATTGATCATGTCACTTCCAAATTTTAGAAGCAAGGAGTGTTTATAAAGTTGTAAGGTTAACATAAAGTGTTAAAAGCAAGAAAACCCTCCAGCCCTTTCCTTAACCTGCACTCTTTCCCAATAACAACAGCAGGATTTCTTTACTGCACAAGATGTACTCTAGGAAGAAAAGAGCCTTGGGCTTGAAGTTCAAAGACTTGTGATTTACAGCCTAGCCTACCATTTATTTATTTAACCAGGGGCCCTTGTGTAGATAACTTCACTGAAACATGGATATTTATTGTCTGTCCTCAAATAATAACAATGGGATTGTAAGTGTAAAATCGTCTTCCTTTCATTTGGAGACAGAGTCTCATGTAGACCAGGTTGGCCTTAATTCATTACATTGCTGAGGCTGGCCTTGAAGAACTGATTCTCCTGTTTCTACTATCCAACTGCTAGGATTACAGGTGTGTGCCACCACCCTGGTAGCAGTCTCCTGTAAGAATGGCTTTGGTTGCTCAAGGGCAACCATAGTCTAAAACAATAAGATATTTTAAAAGGAGGGAGAACTCTGCATTCACAAAATGTTTATGCCAGTATTATTATAATTGTTTTACTTAATATTTATTGATTTTACTGACTGCATCTGACTTATAAATTAAGCTTCCTCATAGGCATGTGAGTATACAGTACCAAACAGAGTATATATGACGGTCAATAGTAGCCAGAGTTTCAGGCTTCCCGTGGTGATTAGCAGGTTATGTCTGAAGGGTTGGAGGCACCACTGTACATCTCTGACACCATTAAAATTTCAGTGATGCCTGTACACAACAGCACAGTTCCTTTCTTGGTAAAGGAGTTACTGATAATGTGCAACTAACAGTTTTCATCTCCCAAACAAGACCCTTTAATCAATCTATCTTCTTCTTGGAGCTTTGAAAAGGCCTAAAAGTGTTCATTTAAGTTTGGGTTCTCCCTTTTATCTCTCCATTCAGTTTCTCCCACAATCCAAACTGCCTTTATTCAAGGGTGCTCACCCATTGTGTGTAACCAGGCACTGGCGCAGTCCCAGCTTGCGGAAGATATCCACTACGATCTCCATTGGCGTAAGGTCTGTCACAGTGAAGGGGCTGAGATCCAGGATGTTCCGAAGCTTCAGGGTAGGTGGAGTATATGGCGGCATTGGAGGTGAGTGCTCAGTGAAATAAATGATGGAAGTGCTCACAACCCCATCCTGCTTCTTCCGAGCATTTTCTATGTGAAGAGAAGGAAATGAGAAGTTGAAAGCTGAAGTACTAGCTCTACATTCTGTCCCTTAACTAGGCCCCTTCCCCTTGTCTCCCCAGCTTCATGCACACTCAGCAAGTTCCTTTATTCCTTTTCCGAAATCCTTACCAATTGAAATGATGAGATCTCTTCGAAGAACAAAGCCCACGAGTCTTTGTGACTCTCGGGAGACTACCACTGGAAAGCCACTATAAGTGGTTTCACTGATTATGGTCTCAACATCTTCCACAGTCATACTGTCCTGAGTAAGGACAGTCAGCAGGGGATCATTTCTCCGGGGCTTCATCACATCCATTGCCAGAGTCTTATGAGCGAATTCTTCTTTGGCTTCAAGAAAGGGGTATCCATTGAGACGAATATGGGCATCATAAATGCCCTCTCGCCCAAGAGCATCTGCTACCCACTTGCTTGTCATGGCTGCAGCCATCAGAGGCACAATATATTCCAGGCCACCAGTCAGTTCAAACATTATGACAACAAGAGAAACCGTCATCCGAGTTACCCCACCTACAAAGAAAAAAGACACAGGAAACAAAGCACAGGAGTCATTACAACTGCATACCTGCTGTGAGCCTCACTGGGAAAAGAACTAGAAATAATGCTAGATCAGAGTCTCACCAACAATTGTGCAGATTCCAGATTGCATTAAAGCATGGCTGTATGGTAGACATGGCTTAAATTTCTCAAAATAACAAAGTAGAAACACCCTTCTAGTGTTTACAAACTTGTTTTTTCTCTCCTAATTGTAAATGCAATACATGCTCATTACAGAAATGTACCTGCTTATAAGCAGAATAAAATTTTTGTTTTTTCCAATACAAAACTGTGCATTCTTACATATAAGAAGAGTAAAATTTTTATGTTTTTTTCTGATACAAAACATGTATTTTACATATGTGAGCTCATATAATGTTTAGTTCCCTAACATACTTTTCTCACATCATTTGTTTGAAATATTTGACATTATTCTCAACTTTAAATTATATTAACAAAAAAATTAAAGGGTTGGGTCAGCAAGATGGCTAGCTGTTGCCAGGTCTGATGCACAAAGTTTGACTGTTCAAAACCCAGGTGGAGAAAGGAGAGACATGACTCTGGTAAGTTGTCCTCTGTTGTTCACACACACACATTGTGGCATAGGCTTTCCCTCTCCCACCATAAAATAAATGTAAGAAAAAAAGGTTTAAATATCCCATTGAAAGATGCTAAAAGGTAACAGAGGCCTTGTGGTCCAGGCCTATAATTCTAGCTACTCAAGTGCTGGAAGTAAGAGCATTGATCAGACGAGTGGGAAGACATCAGTGAGATTTTGTTTTAAAACCAAAAGGGAAAAGATGGCTTACAATATAGCTCAGTAGTATTTATATACCACTAGAATACAGCTTAGAGTTTGCCTAGCAAGTAGCATACCTTGGGTTGGATCCCAAGCATCACACACTTGCACACATACAAAAATATGCTACACACAACAGCATCATGTTTACGGGCCATAGAATGTGATATATGAATGGAGCACAATTTACTTCACAAGTTCCTTCAGGTTCAAATTTAGGTTACTTTTCATTGGCAGGGGTGGAGGCTGGGCTGCTTTTTAGAGAAGGTATCACTACGTAGGTTAGGCAGGCCTGGAACTTGAGACCCTGCCAAGGGCTGATTACAAATATGTGCCACCACATCTGCCTAATTTTGGCTCTTAAAAATAATACTGTGATACACTTTCTTAGGCATGTAGCCATGTCCAGATTTCTGATGACTTTCCCTATGTGAGAGATTAGAATTATCTTTCTTACAATGTTTGAGAAATAGTAACCCCAAAAAGAAATGGATAATCATGAAGGAAAAAAAAAAAAAACTACTCTGCAGTCCATTGCATTTCTTATTACTCTTCATTTGTATATTACTGGCAGTGTAACTTTTTTGAAGCCAAATGCAAATACTACTCACCTAAACAGGCTGCAGCCCCAACCATAGCATAAAGGCCAGGCGTGATGCAATCAGCTCCCTGACTACACCAGCTATTGAAGATGCCCCAGTCATGGTGGTAATAAGCCAGTTGCTCCATTCCTACTCCTAAAAGACGACCTGCTATAGCACCAACAGCCATGCTGGGGATAAAGAGACCGGAAGGAATCTGCAAAGAGAAAGCAAGAGGTACTTAATGAGAGATGCTGCTGCTTTTGGCATATGGTAGTGCTAGAGGACTGACCCTCTGCGAAGCAAACAGGCCAGCGACAATTTAACTATGCACTATGCTACCAAGTGGCTGCAAAGATTTGTGTAACTCTACAGGGACTAGAGGTTCTCTGGGACGTGCAGGCAAGGATGACTTCGAAGAAGCTTACCCTGATTCGGGGGGTCCATCAGGCAAGAGCCTGAACTCTCCAGACCAACACAAAACTGGAGGCAGAAATTAGGCCTTTCCCAAAGAAAAAGGAAAATAGATGGAATTTCTTATTTATGCAGACATTTCCCCCAATTCTGAATTTTTATCAGTAACAATCTACCCTTTGTTGACTATTGTGTTTTATGCTGGATGGTCTATGTAAAGATTTTGATAGATTCTCTATAATAAACCCAGAAATTAAACATTGTTATTCCTAAATGATAGGTCCCAAGGTTCAGAGAGTTTAAGTCATTCACCTGAGGTCAAGAGTGAATATTAGTACTGGGATTTAAACAAAATTCTCATAATGACAGATATATATTGCATCCTAACCCATCACTCGAATAAAAAAAAATGATGGCATAGGAAGTTTCCATTTACCTAATAACAACACCACCAGAAGATTAAACACAATTTTTAAATGAGATAGTGGCTGTAGCTGCATGCTTAACTGAAAAAAAGGGGGGAACATTCAGCTACCTTCCTGTTTTGTTTCTTGACTTCTACGAGCTATTAATATCAAAGGAAGGAAATGACAGTACAGCTTATGGTTCCTCAATAGTGTGCAACTGACATTGGGATACACTCAAGTTGGTATTCTGTGGATCTACAGATCCCCTTTAGAAAACACAAGACAACAATGTTGAAATCAACCCTGGAAACTTTTCAGGGCCTCCATCCTATCCCTGGTTCAAATACCCTTCCATGGATAAGAGAGGGAACAATATGGTAGTAGGGTGCTGAAGAGGAAACAAAAAAGAAGAAAAACCTAGGATGGAGGAAACCAATTTATCCAATTTCCTGTTTTTGTTTCTTCTAAAACTTGGAGATTGTAACAGTTATTAAAGGTAAAGAATGACACCCTAAGATCTGCTTTTAAGTATGATACAATGATTGTACATATTTATTGAGTACAATGGGATACTTGGATATGTGTATACAATGTGTAATGATCAAATCAGGATAATTACCATATCTATCATTTGAACATTCGTTATGTCGTTGTCTTAGGAACATTCAAAACCTTTTACAACATAGAATAAATTATTGGTATTGTCACTTTACTTTGCACGAGACTTACTCCTCAGATAATTCTACTCTGCGAGTGTATGAAATCAACTGTAGCTCTTTTGTGTAAGAATTTGCTTGGATTATTTTTTACACTTATTGTGGTGTGTGTGTGTGTGTGTGTGTGTGTGTGTGTGTAAAATGTTTATGTAGAGGCCAGAAGACAACTTTCAGAAGTCGGTTCTTGCCTTTTACTATGTAGGGTCTAGGAAATGAACTCAGGCTTGGTGGCAAACACTGTTACCTACAGAGACATATCACTGGTCTGTGTTATCTGTTTTTGAGAGTTGAAATATTTTAGTCTCAACCGTGAAGTGGATCCTACTTATTACCAAGTCAACAGGGATACTAACTGTACAAACACCATTTAGCTATGTATTGGGTTGAACTCTATAAAGTTGCTAAACACTAAAATGTGTTTAAGATGGTAGAATATTGTTAACCTCATGGAGTTCAGGCTAAAGTAGTTGTTCTTTAATTAACTCTAACATGTATCCCATAAAATAGCAGTTTTCAGTCTTCCTAATGCTCTGACCCTTTAATACAGTTCCTTATGTTGTGATAACCCCCAACCATAAAGTTACTTTCATTGCTACTTCCTGTCATTTTGCTGTGGTTCTGGATTGTACTGTAAATACCTGATAAGTGACCCCCAAGGGCCTGAGAACCACTCTATAAAGACTATCAATACATTAGTCACATACTGTACTTGCATAGAAAATGCTCTAGAACAAATATCCCAATATCCTTTTTGTGGGGAAAATGTTTTTACATAGAAATAGAGAAAACGTTTCTTTTAAAAACTCCTTAGTGAGGTTTTCATTTGATCTAAATACAAGTATGATCAATTTGAGACAGAGTTATCATTGTCCACCAAGTCATGAAAACATCGAGGGGCAAAGAAGCATCTGGGGACATGTCACATGAACTATCAAGACTGTAGGATACTTTGGCTTTGCCCTCCAAAGCCCACATCCACACAGAACATTCACACAGAATTCACCAAAAGAATTCCTCACCTTCATGCCAAAGGTGAATATAGTAATGACTATTTTCAGTATGAGTGTCAGGGCCAGTTGCCACATAGCACTGTAGACTCCATTGCCAGCAGGTCTGTCCGGCAGCTCACCACCTTTGCTTGTGTTGAAATGGTTCTCATAATCACAGAGCTTGGAGGAGTCCAGGAGGCCACAGTCATTGAACAGCTCAGAAATGAGCTCACTTGTGCTCATCCGGGTGTATTCATTGGGGAAAGCCAAGATGGCAGTGATGGCTGTCACAATGAGTACCTCAACGACAGGATACTTGCCCAATTGTGTGGTTTTACGCTTCCGACACCAGGCAATGTTGGTGCGGATAAACAGAGCTCCCCAAAGGCCACCGAATATGCCTAGCACAATAAATGGCACGAGCTCAAAAAGATGCCATGGGGTGTGAAACTCCACATAAAATAGAACCAAGCGGCTGTTTCCAAATGGATTGATGGACCGCAGTGTGAATGCTGCCACCAGGGCAGCAAAGAATGAACGCCATAGTGTTTTGAGGGGGAAATAGTAGCTGACCTACAAGACAGAAGGTGAGAAAGCAAACTTAGTCAAGATGCAAAAACTGTTTCAAATGAAATGCGGGGGCTGCTGCCATTGTAGTCAAGGATGACAACTTTCCAGAAAGTTCTGCTTACATGCCAAAGGACCAAATTGGGCAGAACACTCAGGGACTGCAACATACATAGATACTGGCCAAGATTTCTAATACCAAAGCATACACATGCTTTACAGACAAAAGTCATTACCTCTTCCAGGCTGAATAATACTCCACCAATAGGTGCTCCAAAGGCTACAGATACACCAGCAGCTGCAGCAGCTGATAAGACCTACAATCCGAAATGCAAAATCAGCAATAGAATAATATGGTCTTCTTACATTCAATCACACTTTAAAGCAATGTTCATAACCACTAAGAAATTAAAAAATAATAACTTTACACAGATGACCACTTTAACAGAAGCAACACTAAATAGACTCTGTGGGTTATATTTAAGTGTGTGTGTGTGTGTGTGTGTGTGTGTGTGTGTGTGTGTGTGTATTTATAACACCAAAGAAAAAGGTGCCATGAATTTGACAAGGGATCATATGAGAGAAGTTGGAGTGAAGAAAAGGAAGGGGAGAAGTGATATAATTACATTTTAATTAAAAATCTTAAAAGGAATTGGAATTCAGATGTAGAGAAGGAGGAGTGATAATAAAATGGGGACAAGACCAGGCTGCAGAAACCCACAGAGACAGCTGACCTGAACAAGGAGGAGCTAATGGGCCCCCAGATTGACAGCAGGGAAACCAGCATTGGACCCACCCATACCCCCTGAATGTGGGTCTCAGTTAGAAGGCCTGGGCAGTCTAAGGGACCTCTCACAGTGGAACCAAGATGTATCCCTGGTGCATGAAAGGGCTTTGGGAGCACATTCCCCATGGAGGGATACTCCCTTAGCCTAGAGGCAGGAGGGGAGGCCTAGTCCCTACTCCAAATGACTTGACAGATTTTGTTGATCCCTCCTGGAAGGTATCACCTTCCCTGTGGAGTGGGGAGGTGGGAATGGGAGGGGAGGGTGTTGGGGGGGGACATGGGAGGGAGAGGGAACTGGGGTAAATATGTAAATAAGAAAAAATAATAATAAACAAAATCTTAAAAGTGGGAAACACATTTTACATGTTCTATATCAAAAAGTGAGGTTCAATTTCTATTTTCTTGAAGAGCAAATAGTATATGCTAGATGATATATATATATATACATATATATATATATATATATATATATATATATATATATATTCTGTATGTTTGAACCAAAAAAAGACCCTTTATTTTGTGATTGCGGCATGTGCTCAAGTCTGATTGGGCCTGGATTGGCAGCACTCTTGATGCAGCACATGAACTTGAGTTTGGAAACCCAGATAAAGTGCTTTGCAGTGAGGTGTTTCACCCACATACTTTGTTTCTTTTAATTTTTGAAACTATAATTACACCATGTCCTCCCTCTATTTCCTTTCTCCAAACCCTCCCATATTCTTTACCTTGCTCTCCTTCAAAATTATGATCTTTTTTTACATTCCTATTACATGCATATATACATATACATATATGTATGTATGCATGTATTCCTAATTGTAACCTGCTTAGTCTGTGTAATGTTACTTGTATGTACAATTTCAGAGCTGCCCAGGGAAGACTACTTCTCCCTCTTTCAGCTTCCTGATTAGCATGTGGTTCTTTGTGTAGGATTGAGGCCTCATGGACTTCCCCCCTAGCACGTTAGGAAACATTTTAATGAGATATTATGGAAGGCTCTAGTGATATAAAAGTGAAGTTATAGTTTAGAATTGCCTATAACTTGTAGCCTATTCCAGTCTCAATGGACTATAGAAATACAAATGGAGAGACAACTAGATTTTTAAGGGCAGAGAAGATAGATGGCACAAAAAGGGAAGAGAGTAAAACATCACCAGGAAAACAGGGGGAAATGAACAAGTGTTTAGAGAAGATTGCCTTGCATGGGAAAGTGCAGGTATGTAAAATGTGCTGAACACACACTAGTGGCAAACAGACTAGAATTCATAGGAACATGTCATTTCCTTGCACACTACTAGCTGTGGAGAGAAATGATTTAAAGGCATATAGTAAAGATGAAATTGAACAAAAGGAAGAATTTGGAAGACTGGACTATTTCTTGACAAAACACACAGGCAGGTTTCTTCAGGACTGGCAAGCCATCTAGAGAAATTAAGGGGAAGGGAAAGGAGATAAATCTCTGGTGCTAACCTTGAGAACTTGGACAAATCAGAGCTCAAAAGGCTGTCTTTGAGAAGGACAGGGAAGCCAAAATTCAACCCATAAACAGAGATTTCACTGGGTATGTTTAGGATGAAACTGGAGTTTTATATTTGTGAATGGAATCTCTGAATCCCTGACCAACTCAGATCTGCTCACTGTGATAAGGTCACTGGTCACAAACATGTTGTGCTGCTGCTACGGAGAACTACAAAACAAGGCAACTTTCACAAGGCCCTGGGGCTGAGGCCCAGCATGACAGGAGAGACACTTGGATATCCAAGGTATAGAAAACAGACTAAAGATCCAGATGGTCAGATAAAATGTCTGGCAAGTTCAGGCAAACATTTCAACTTTTATACGTAATCCAGTTTCAAACTCAACTCTGTGTAAAGGCAACAACAACTACCAACACTTATTCTTGCCCTTTAGAATGGTTTTCTTTTCAATTACTTCACTTGCTACAGATTATTCGGGGTAAGCAATTTCTCTAATTTCACACAGCTTCTGTGCCCTTCTACCGCATGACAATCTACTCACATGCCCCTCTGTCACTCCTGCTTGTTTCCCTCTCCTGTCTGTTACAGGAACTTTCCCCTACTTAGTGGAAACGTTATTCCTTACTTCAAACCTCAACATTTTTAGCTTCCAGAGCCTCTGCTTTATCTTTTTGCTGTCGTTATCTTCAGGAGAAACCACTGGATTCCAGTTTTACAAGAGGTCCTTTCTAATGAAATGATCTAGGCCTTGACCTATTCTGCCTGTGACTTTTAGGCCATTCAAGGGAAAATAAAACAAGAACCACTGCTTCCTTAGGTTCATAATTACAGCAAGATAAAGGTAACCAATGACTTAGGACAATTTAAAAAAATATTCTTCCTCCTCAGTGGACAGAAGGAGAATTAGATATACAGAGCTAGTTCCAGGACAAAGTCCAAAGCTATACAGAGAAACTCTGTCTCGAAAAACCAAAAATAAATAAATAAATAAATAAAAATATGTAGTTAAAAAGAAAAATATTCTTCTTCCTCAAAATAGTATACGTTAACAACTGGATGAATTTGAGCAGCAGCACAAGCACAGTGTGGTAATATGAAAGAAAATGGCCCCCAGAGGGAGTGGCACAGTTAGGAGGTGTGGCTTTGTTGGAGTAGGTGTGGTCTTGTTGGAGGAAGTGTGTTACTGAGGGGTGGGCTTTGAGGTCTCATAGATGCTCAAGCTTCACTCAGTGTGACACTTTCTGTTGCCTGAAAGATCTAGAATTCTCAGCTACCTGTCCAGCCCCATGTCTGCCTGCACGCTGCCATGCTCTCTGTCATGATGCTAATGGGCTGAACCTCTGAACTGTAAGTGAGCCCCCTCAATTAAATGTTCTCCTTTATAAGAATTGCCATGTTCGTGGTCGGGTTAAGAGCACTGGTTGCTCTTCCAGAGGTCCTGAGTTCAATTCCCAGCAACCATACGATGGCTTACAACCATCTACAATGAGATCTAGTGCCCTCTTCTGGTGTGCAGACATATATGCTGGCAGAACACTGCATATGTAATAAATAAATAAAGCTTAAAAAATAAATCAAACAACAAAAACTGAAAAGAAATCCTAACTAAAACATACAGTAGAAAGAATTTAGATGGGTTGAAGCAAGAGGCAGGCAGGGAGAGTCTAACAGAGGGAGGAACTAATTCAAGTGACATTTAATAATAAAAGATGAAAAATCTGCCATTTGAAATTATACTTTATGTTTACTCTTACATAACAAGTCCCTCAAAATCTATTATTTTCTATAACTTCATTTTTAGAAGTGACATATAAAAATCCAAGTCCTCACTTCTTTCCTACTATATTATCCCACCTAATAAAAGTGCATGCTTTCTACAGTTTAACAAAATTATTTCCAGATATTTTTGGGTTTTATGTGTTCATCATCATGTATGCAGATATGCACATGTACAGATGCACGTATCTGCAAGGGAGGTCAGAAATCAACCTGGTGTTGTTCCTCAGGAAATGTCCACTTCATTTGTTGAGATAGTGTCTTTCATTGGCCTGGCTGGCTATTGAGACCCAAAGATCTGCCTGACCCTACCAAGCACTGGGATTATAAATATGTACCACTTTAAAAGAATAGGTTTGCCAGGTGGTTGTGGCGCTCGCCTTTAATTCCAGCACCCAGGAAGCAGAGGCAGGTGAATCTATGTGAATTCTATACCAGCCTGGTCTACAGAGTGAGTGCCAGGATAGGCTCCAAAGCAATACCGAGAAACCCTGTCTTGAAAAACAAAAACAAAATAAAATAATAAACAAATAAATAGAATAGGTTCTTGGAGATCAAATGTTCGCAAGGTAAGAACTTTACTGACTGAGCCAACACACCAGCCCTAAACATTTTCTACGTAAGTGCAAAGACAGACATTTTTTAAAAATTACTCGTTGTCCCATAAACAGTAGTCACAAACTAGCTGCAGTGTTCTGTTGTCAGCAGTCCATGTCAATATATTTAAGGTTATCTCATTCTCTCATTCTTTTAAATGTTGCACAGTTTACTATGATATGAGCAGAACAGCTTTTTTTTTTTAAAATCAAGCCCCTATTTGATGGACATTCTGCTAATTTCAAGCTTTCACAATGTTAATGAGTTTGTGTTGACTATCATTAGATAACTGTGCAGATACACATGCTAGGATAGCTATAAAACAGCCTCCTAGAACTGAACCTGCTCAACCAAAAGCCATTTGAATTCACAAGAATTAAATCCCCAAATTCTGACCACTAAGATCTTAGCATTTCTGCTCAAGAGTACAAATCAACTATTAAGGTCATGTGTCATTACCTCTCTGCGCTTGGCTTCATTCTTCCTGTATTTGTTGAAGCAGTGGCACAGGATGTTCCCACAGCAGCAAGCCACGTGCACTAGGGGGCCCTCTTTGCCCAGGCTCAAACCAGATGACACTGCCAGCACCAAAGTGATAGTTTTGATGACAAGCGTCCACTTACCCAAATAGCCCCTAATAATGAAACCACTCAGGATAGTTTTTATCTGCAGGTCAAACACAAAGATTGAATACAGACTAAGTAAATAAACAAAACTGAACAGCTAAAATCTGCACCCCCTTATAAGAACTATATAATCCTTCAACAAATGACTTATATCTATATATATCTATATATATCTATCTATATCTATATCTATATCTATATCTATATCTATATCTATATCTATATATATATATATATATATATATATATATATATATATATATATACCTGTCCCAAGAGGGATCTTAGTATAGGAGAGAGCTAGGAAAGCAGGAAGTATTTTTGCAAACTTTCATGGACTTTTGGGGAGTAAAGGGCCATGTGGCAACTGGAAAGAGGGTGAGAGTTTGTGGATGGAGGAGCAGGAGCACCTAAGAAAGAACAGGTATTTCTACTGGTTATAAAATAGTCTGAGAATAAGGTCAGTGTTCAAGAAACAGCCTGAAAGAGTAGGTACAACCTGGAATATTTGACAAAGAACATTGTGACTATTATTTAGAAGCAAGGCTATCTTGATAACCTAAAATTGAAATTGCTTGAGTAAAACAACCTAAGCCCCCCAATACAGGTAGGACAGGTGTTTGGGCTACCATCGTCCCACATCTAGCCCAAATTCTGTGACCCAGGCTGAGAGGAAACTTAAAGGAAAATCTAGACGGAGCTTAGATGTCCTCTGGCTCTGACCCTGATTGATAGTCACCAAGCTGTAGTATATGCAGGAATACACAGAAAATTTTGGCAAAAAAAAAAAAATGGTTCATACTGTACTTACCTCAGGAATTCCAGAACCACAGGCATAAGGTGCAAACGCTTTGACAAGAGATACGGCAAGGAAAGCAAACAGGAGAGCCCAGAGGACATACATGAAATAGTTGACTATGTAGGCAAAGGCTCCCTGAAACAGAACAAAAAGACAGACACTGTTTTAATGTAGACATTTGGGTGGGGAATGTAGCTCTTTTCAGTGACATTTTGCCAGGACAGTAGGTTGGGAAGAAGCAGAACAACAGTAAATTGCTTAACTATCTCTTTGCAGGCCATTCATGGGAGAAACTACTGAAACACCATCAGGGACCCTTGGTACTAAAAATTACATGTCTTGCTGTAATCAGAGGAAATCCTTAAAGCATTCTAAGAGTTGATATGCTGGAAAAGAAAATGAAAAACCTTCAAACATGATTCACTGTAATAAAATAATTATTTCCTTTTTATTCTTTGAGGAATCTGAAATTATCAGGGTCAGATAGTTTCTACCCACATAATTTTTTCTGTCTGTGGTATCAATTCTCTCTAAGATGTAATTATTATATGTAGAATATTTGTTAAAGGCTTAACAGACTATAATTATGGTCACTAGGGCAGGGATGAGTAGGAAATGATGGCAGCCAAAGGTATAAATTGGCAATTAGGTGGGGTGAATAAATTTAGAGATATAATGTACCACAAGAGAACTGTAGTTAAGAATACTGAATACTGATAATTTATTATTCACACAAAGAATCATAATTATGGAGGGTGACTGTTATATAAGTCTCTGTGACTATGTGTGTGTGTGTATGTATGTATGTATGTATGTATATATAATCAAGGCTTGGGGCTCAAGAGATGGTTAAGCTGTTAAGAGGGCTTATTGCTTTTCTAGAGGACTAAGTTTGATTCTCATCACCTAAATCTACTAGCTCACAACTGCCTGTAATATCAGCACCAGAGAATCTACTGCCACCTTCTGGCCTCCACTGGCACTTGCATTAATATGGTATGCATGTATACATACACACACGCACGCACATACACACTTTAAAATAAAGCATGAAGGACTAGAACTTGACGTGGTAGCTCATACCTATAATTCTAGGACTTGGAAGGTGGAGGCTGGAGGAGTAACATTTCAAGGGTTCCCTCTGCTACCTAAGGAGGTCAAGACTAGCATGGGCTACATAGATGTCTCAAAACAACAATAACAACTCAAATAAGTAAACAAGCATCAAGGCTTAGAGTATAGCTCAGTGATAGAGCATGCATTTTAGGATGTGTGAGACCCAGGGTTCAATCTCCAGGATTATAAACTGAAACAAATTAAATACTCTCCTCACTATTATACTACTTGACCTAAACATGCACAGTAAACAATTACAAATAAATGAAACGATGCTTAAGAATTTTAGTTACTATAATCTGTGAGAATTTTTATTACATTTTTATTTAAATTAAAAACAACCTTTTTTCCATACCAATCCCATTCCCTCCCAACCTCCCATTAACCCACCAACCCCCATACCACCTCCATCCACTCCTCAGAGAGGGTGAGACCTCCTATGGGGATCATCAAAGTCACATCATTTGGGGAAGGACTGAGGCCCTCTTCCATGTGTCTAGGCTGAGAGAGTATCCCTCTGTGTGGAATGGGATAAATCCTAGATCCACTGCCAGCAGCCCCATAGGCTGCCCAAGCCCTCCAACTGTCACCCATGTTTAGGGGGCCGGGCAGAGAGAATGAATAGGAGACATCTAGGCAACAGAGAAAGAGTGAGAAAAGAAGGAGAGGGGGATGCCAGGGGCCAGCCATACCCAGCCACACAGCCAGCCACAGAGTAAGAAGGGAAGAAATACATATTGAGTAAAGGTAAAAAACTCAGAGGCAAAATGTAGTTAAAGAGAAATGGGATAATTTAAGTTAGAAAAACTGGCTAGAAACAAGCTAAGCTAAGAATATATCTCCAAGTATTTATTTGGGAGCTGGGTTGCAGGCCCCCAAAAGAGTAAAAGAAAAAAAATCCCAACTACATTTTGGAACCCAACATGAGGCCCCAACCCATGACCCTGAGAAGCTAGCCGGGCCTAGATTTCTCCTCTTATTTATTCTCTCTACCTGGCAGTCTCACCTATCCCTCTCTCCTACCTAGCTATTGGTTGTTCAGCTCTTTATTAGACCAATCAGGTTTTTAGACAGGCAAAGTAACAGCTTCACAGAGTTAAGCAAATGAAACATGAAAAAAAAATGCAACACATCTTTGCATCAATAAACAAATATTCCACGACATGAACAAATGTAACACATCTTAAATGCAATTAGCATTAAAGGTCTGGCAAATATGATGCTTTACCAAAAAGGAATACTGAATACCAGGAGTTACACTTCAGATGACACAGATACAAAGCTCATTGGACTTTGGACTTTGCAAAATATACATTATGAGAATTTAAAGGGCTAGACAAGGAGAATCAGGACTCTATAGCTTTACTAGTTGTGAATTTGATACACTTTTCCCATGATCTTAGGTCCTCAGAGAATAATAATTATTACTATTTTTTTGTTCTTTAAAAGTAGCTTGAGAGCAAGTGGACTCCAGAGGTAGTAAACAAAAAGGGAAAGGCAGCGAAAGAGCAAACAACAGATATTGGCCAGAGGCAGAGATCAGTGGCCAAACTGTTGGCAAGAGAAGGCTTCTGAAAGCCTCACAGATTATTTCCCCAAGCAATGATTTCATTCATAAAAAGAGCCAGAAAAAAATCTGTTGTGTGAGCAAATCTCAAGCTCTGCTTTACAAGGAACTGGTGAGACAGACCCATACACAATAAAGGGCAGCACGCTCTCTGACCTCTGTGAGCACCCGGCACATATGTGGTCCACACACACACGTGCAAGCAAAAACCTAAAATAAATCTAAAATAATTAAAAATTGTTGTTCACACATAAAAATATTCCAAATATTCAGGAAAAAAAATTAGTGTTCAAGGACGGTCTGAAGTTTGATAAACAAACATGTCTTAGCTAGGGTTACTATTGTGGTGATGAAACACCATGACCAAAAAGCAAATTTGGGAGGAAAGGGTTTATTTGGCTTACACTTTCACAACACTGTTCATCACCAAGTCAGGACAAGAATTCAAACAGGACAGGAACCTGGAGGCAGAAGCTAATCCAGAGGCCATGGAGGGGTCTATTTACTAGCTTGCCCCTCATGGCTTACTCCATCCCCTTTCTTATAGAACCCAGGACCACCAGCCCATGGGCGCCACCACCCACAATGGCTGCACTCTTCTCTATCAGTGACTAAATAAGAATATGCCCTAAAGCTGTACCTCACAAAATCATTTTCTCAGTTGAGGCTCCCTCCTCTCTGATGATTCTAGCTTGCATCAACTTGACATAAAACTAGCCAGTACCATACACATAAAACTCTGCTCCTTAAGCCAATGTATACAGTTGTATATGAATATAAAATCTCTTATTTCTGACTTTATTATTTTCCTATCCTTTTTCAATGGACTTGGATATGTCTGTGAGTATGTATGCCACTTCAAATGCTTTGTGAACAAAGTGGATAATAACATTTAAAAATTTTTAACTGATTTATCATGGTTACACATCCTTATAAGGTATAGTACAATGCTTTGATAAATGTGTGTATACATTTTATATATATATATATATATATATATATATATATATATATAATGTATAGTGATCAAATCAGGAAAATTAGCAGTTTTACTTAAAATATTCCATATATCTTTATGTTTGAAGCCTTCTTACTCCCTCTACTTCTTTATAAAATAGAAGAAGGGATGTGGGTTCACTAGGTTAGAGCACTTACCTAGCACACACTAGGCCTTGGCGCTAGTACTCAGTGCCTCAATTAATCATTCATTGTTGTAAAGTACAGTTACAGAAAGGTTGTTGCTGTTTGAACTGGAGAATTTCTTCCTCCTCTCTATTTGCTGTTCATTACATAACTTCTCTCTGTCCCCTTCCCTCTCAGCTTCTAGTGACCTTTACTGTACTCTTTAACTCTTTGCAATCAGATGAAAGATAAATGTTAAGAGTACAAGCATATATTTTGGTCCTATTTCTACTTTACCAACAGAATGAATAAATAGGTAAGGAGTTCTACTGCTGAGCCTGGTGGCTAAAACACTTTCCCCCCCTTTTTCCTTTTCAATTTTTATTTAAATTAAAACAATGTTATTTTACATACCAATCCCAGTTTCCTCTCCCTCCTGTCCTCCCATGCCCCCATTCCCCCTACCAAGCCCCATCCCACCCCTCCACTCCCCAGGGAGGGCGAGGCCTCCCATGGAGAATGATCAAAGTCTGTCTTATCATTTGGAGCAGGTCCTGCCCCATCCTATATGTATCCAGGCTGAGAGAGTGTCCCTCCACAGGGCATGGGCTCCCATAGCCCATTCACGCATTAGGAATAAACACTGGTTCCACTGTCAGAGGTCCCATAGACTGTCCAGGCCTCCTAACTGACACCCATGTTCAGGGAGCCTGGTTCAGTCTTATGCAGGTTCCCCACCTGTCAGACTGGGGGCCATAAAACCACTTTTGTGGAAGAAATCTAATATATAACAAAGGACTGAAAGAAGGAACTGAAACGCAAAATTATTATGTGTTGAAAATTACTTGCTTAGACAATAATGAAAGAACTGATATGACTGCAATAGAGACTGGGCAATTTTATTCCTAGTTCTTTGTTATTTTGACATGAAGCATACCATACCTTTGATTGTTCTAATTCAGTGCCCAAAGACAAACTGCTTTGTGTTTCTATGATGAAACTATTTTAAACCATTTCGTAATCCTTTGTAAGAAATTCCATCTTACCTGTTGTCTGCCTTTGACAGCATTAGAGAACAGTGATTTTAGCTATACTATGTAGTAGCAGCTAAGAAATAGAAGACTTCTTGAAAACAAACCAAACTTTTAAATATAAGCAGAAAATGCTTCCAACATGTCATAAGAGATAGAAACGGGGCTGTACTTAAACCACAAAATAAAAACAGCTGGTTCCACTTTCTTTTCCATAAAAGGAAATAGAGGAAGATTTCATAATCTTCAGAAGTACAGGACAAAAAAAGTGAAATAAATATAAGGATGAAATTCAGTGGTACAAAAGTACTACCCATTACCTGATCTGTACTGATGATAAGCTGGGACCAGCTGTTCCACTCTGGACACTTGTCTCTGTCTTCAAAGGTGACATGTTTAGAATTCCAGCAACAGTGTTCATGGTTAAACCAGAATCCCCCTGTGCATATCCCTTCTTTTAAATCTGTCATCCAGTGAGCAGAGATGTCTATCAAGCCTGCTAAGGAACCTGATTTAGTGGGGAAGAAAGGGAAAGCCAAAGTTAAATTCCACTTCTGGAATTCTATCTGTGGTAACTGGAACAAGCTTTATCAGCTAAAATGACAGGAAAGGAATTGAAATGACAGGTAAATAAATACTTTCCTATTCCTAGTCTATATTTACTATTCCTATTCTTTCTGATTGTTGACTTGCTTGATATTTCACGTACTATCTCTACATTAGCACTAGTAACAGGCTAAAGAAATGCTTCAGAGGATCTGAGCCAATTACCAGCACCCATATTGAGTAACTCACAATGGTTATAACTCTAGTTCTAGAAATGCTTCTGGCCTCCAAGGGCATCTGCACTCTCACACACAGTCAAAAACACATACACAGGATTAAAAATAAAAGTAAACACCAGTATCTATGAAATGGGTGTACTGGAAAGAACTAGGGAGAAAGCAAAATATTTGGAGGATGGGGAGGAGTTTGGTTTTGAAACTCACTTGACATAATAAAGGGGCTGCTTTGGTCTGGTTTAAGAACAACAATCTATAAAGGAAGTAATTTGTTAAAAACTATGTGCCTTGCTAGGCACGATGCCATAGGCCTTTAATCCCAGTACTCAGATAGTTGAAGGCCAGCCTGGTCTACTTAGCATGCCAGCTAGGAATACATAATGAGACTCCATGTCAAGCCAAAAACAACAGCTAAAACAAAGAGATTATGTGACTCTCCCTATATACATCAGGTTGAATGAACAAATTGCACACAGTGAAGAATCTTTCATGATACTTATTTGCAAAGGTTCTGGAGAAAAGCTGATGAAGGTTATGGGTGATGATGGGCTAAACCTGGACAGTAGGGTTTTCTGGACAGGAAGGAAGAACTTGCACAGTGGAAGGAAGATATTGTAGTATACTAAGGACATTAAATTTATAGCAGCATAGAGTGTTGTGTGCAAAGAAAGTTGGATGGAACTAGAGAAACTTGGGATGCCTACTGAACCTAGGGTCTGAACACACTACAATGGTCTCAGTAAAAAGGAATAACCAAATGTAGAACATACACCAAAGAAAATGATGAGAAAAAAAAGAAAATAAAAATGGGAACATAAGTACTATCACTGGTAAATGGATAAGAGCTAAGACAGATAAAGTACTTTACTTCTGGCTGTCATGTGTCAGTTAAATGAAGAAACTATGGACAAGAGGAATTAAATGGCCCAGAATTATGCCTCAGAGAAATGGTAAAGTTGTTCAGAACAGCCCCAGAATTTTCAGACTGTTCCATTCAGACACACGTCTTCTGTTATGGGTCTCCAATGTTTAAAAACAAAACACCTCGTGTGTATGAGAGGAAAAATACAGCCAGTGACTGCCTAAAGACAAGAAACACATGAAAGAGATGAGGATATTGTGCCTACATTTGTTTGGGTAAGAAAGGACATGTTATGTGTATGTTTTGGTAAGTGCTGAAAGTATTACCACCTGCCTGAATGCCCTAGTCAAATCCAGCATTTTCTGACAGCTACTCAACCTCCCAAGTTTCTGTTCCAACTTTCATTGCATTTACTGCTTGGGTTCATAAAATTAACACCTTATAGTCCCATACTTTGCTCTATGCTGTTGTTTCATATTTGCATTTTGTATTTTACAAAGCTATCTTCAGTCCTGTCTTCCTTTCTATTTCTATACCTCCCCCTTCTCACAAATGCTGCTTCTCTGGTTACAAGTTGTATTAAGCTTCCCTATCCCAAATAGAGTGTTGTCCCTTATCCTTGCCTACCATTTCAAGGGTTTGTTCTTCTTTTCTTTCCAGTGACTATCAAAACTTGAAATCTGGATCTCAATATGTATCTGAAGTTTCTTTGAGAACACTATGTTTCTAATCACTGGATTTATGACCTTTCCTCCTCTATATTCCTTCCCTGCTTTTGCTACAATATTTGGCATTATGGACTGCCAAATCTATTATTGATCTTCTCCAAACTGGGTTTTCTCTCCGGGAAGAACAAGAAGGTACAGTTGAATACCCTCAACTACAGGGATGGCAACGAAACATGAGGGCCACATTTTGCTCATGTGTTAAGCCTGTCAGTAAAGACATCCTGGTGGCAGGCAGACTTGTATCTTTACCTATGGTGAATGGCTACTTTTGTGTGACAGCAACAGAGGGGCGTGAGTACTACAGAGATCATTTAACTCACAAGTCTTAAAATATTTAGGATTATCTGACTCCTTTAATGAAAAAGAAATATCGCCAAACTTTTAGTATAGGCAATTCTTTTAAAAAATTATTTTACATATTATTTGTGTATGCTCATACATGTTAAGTGCATGGAAACTCACACATGAATGTCAAAGGACAACTTTTGGAAGTTAGCTCTCTCCTTCCACCACGGGTTGTAAGGATCAAACTAAGGCTGTCATGCTTGTAGAGCAAGCACCCACACACACACACACACACACACACACAACACTAGGCTATCTTGCCAGTTCCTATCCCAGGCAATTCTTAGAAACTCAGGATGGATGAACCATTTTATACTTGAGAGAGCCATTTTCTACTCCATGGCTCATGACAAGAGCAGCATCAACAGCTAGGCACCATGCCTAATGATTTGTCTCATGTAACCCTCAAAGAAAGTATTTAAAATAGCTTATATATTATATTATATCTCTATTTTTACATATCAAAACGCCAAAAATGTCTAGGAGTTAAGAAACTTTCCCACAGCCATAAAACTATCAGTAATGGAACAGGAATTTAAATCTTGACTTCCTGAAACTAGAGTCTGTGCTAAAAAGTGAAATCTTACACCTTCTCCGGTTTTCGCACTTAACTTCTTTTTAGCTCAAGATTCCAGTTTTCCTAGGTAGTGTCTTTAATGCTACAATGGTGCATCTCTTAGTCTCCCTGGCTTTCTGCTCCCTATGTAGGAGAGTGACATTTGCATTGGAATTGGTGTTAGCAGAACAAGTATACACTTATATACTGTATAAAAGTTGAGCAGCCCTAACCTGAAATGTTCTATGGTCCTCAACTTTTTAAGCATTGGCATGAAGCTGCATGTAGATCTCATGTGATATGACTTTAGTCAAAATACAGATGAAAACGTGTGCAGTGACTAAAGCCTACTATCTGCACCTAAGAAGCTGAGATAGGAGTGAATTTGAGGCTAGCCTGAATCTCATAAGCCAAATGAGACACACTTAGAAAAGTCCAAGTGAGCTTAAAATATATTAAACTATCTTCAAGCTATGCAAAATATATATACATGGTGCTTACATATATTTATGTATTTAATATATGTGTTACATATACATATGCATGTATATATATAAAAAAACAAACATTGTGTTTAGATTTCAAATATTTCTGGATTCAGTCATTTTTAAAATTTATTTATTTAGTGTAAGTGCACATGTACTCCCTGTGTGTGTGTGTATGTGCATGTGTGTCTGTCTTTGGCCATGGTATAAATATGAAGGTCAGAGGACAATGTGTGATGGTCAGAGGATAAACTGTAAGAATTGGTTTTCCCCCCTCCATCATGTGGTCCTGGAAATCAAATGTGGCTGTCCAGCGTGGGAGCAAGCACCTTTATCCACTGAGTCATTTCACCAGCACTTTGGATAAGGGATACTCAACCTATAGGGTTTCAAGTGGCTACAGAGAGTCAATGGAACTTATAGGAAAAGGTGCTCTCATAATATCCCTCAGAAACCAGGAAAGAATGTTCTAAGTTCCTGGGAGTAGGAGCTACATGTTAATATACCTTCCTATACCACCACAGTGAGGAGTTAAAAGTTTAAGAGACAGTAAATAGCTGGATATGGTAGATCTTGCCTGTAATATCGGCAGTGAGAAGAGTGAGGCAATGGATCACAGTTCTTTCCAGCCTAGATTGTATATTGAGTTCAAGACCAGCCTGGGCTAAATAACGAGACCCTGTTATAAGAAGAAAATGGGCTGGGGACTGACTCGGTGGTTGAAACCTTCACTAGCACATATATTAGTCTTGAGTTTTATTCCCAGAACTGCAAAAAAAAATTAAAAAAAGAATGACAAAATGTCTCAAGAAGTTATCACTGCATCTTCTAAACCCCATGCAGAATGTACCAAAACCTGTGCCTCCAACAAAAGTGTTTTTCCACCAGGGCGGGGAGACACTGTGCTGGTTTCCACCTTAAAACGAGCATGACCTCTTACAGCATACAAACTGGGTTTAGATGTATTTAAATCAAAGAAGAGTATACAGGTATTAGAATTCATTTACAAATGGGAAATCACACTTCCAACAGGTTCACCGGCAATTCATTTCAGATGGGAGAACACAGCACTTGACTCAATTCAGAAGGGGCATATTATAGGTCTGGGAGATTAATATTAAAAACTACTATAGTATACCATACCTGATAAAAGCCCAATAAGGAGCATCAACAACCAGCCAGAAAAAGCATCGCTCACACTGTGAATTAAGGCCCATGTTGACTCTTTGCTTTTATTGGTAATCTAGGAAAAAGATAAGATAACATTGGTATACTCTTCACATATGTTCCCTTCATCTAAAAATTATTCAACAGAAAAATACAAATTATCTGGGAATAGGTAACAATTTGACTGAACCAAGTTAGCAAGTAGGCTGCAATGTATTGAACTCTACCAATTTATTGTAATGTCCCACCCCTACTAATTTCTCAACACAATTAACCTGTTTAGTGTATTGCAGGGGTCATTTCTGCCCTGGATAAAAGGTATCTCAAGGACAGTTGATTCACAGTCAATAGTTTTATTATTTTCCAAAGAATAAATAAATGATGGCTGATCTCAGCGACACTTTGAGGTTTTTTTATCTGTGGCTGTGATTCAGTCAGAAAATTCCCAAACTTTAGTGGTACAAAGGTCTCAGGGTACAGTGATCACAGGTACTAAGTGATACTGGTAAAACCAGCAACCGTATCTGAGGGTATCAGGGTAAACACAAAGTTTTGACTCTTTAGGTCTTACCCTTGTCAACTTCCATCCACAGTGTTCATATTTTTATTTTGTTTCAATTTAGCTTTGTGTGTGTGTGTGTGTGTGTGTGTGTGTGTGTGTGTGTGTGTGTGTGCGTGCGCACGCGCACGCGTAGGTCAGACAACTTGCTGAAGTCTGTTTTCTTCTTCCAGAGATCAGAAACAATCATCAGACTTGCTAACAAGTATTTCTGTACACTTAACCAACTTACTGGCCCATGTCTGTATTTTTAAAACCATTATTCTGCCAGTTGTTACTGGTACTTCCCCTTCTTTGTATTGTTTGTTATACTCAGAATTAGTTTATTCCACCTTCACCTACAGCAACATCACAAATAATAACAAATTGTATGTTTCAAAGGGAACTTCAAAATGTATTTTGAGGGACAATAAGTTGGCCCAGTGGCCTGTGTATGCATGTGTGCACGCACACATGCACACACACACACACAGAGAGAGAGAGAGAGAGAGAGAGAGAGAGAGAGAGAGAGAGAGAGAGAGAGAGAGAGAGGACAAGTTCAAGGCAAAGGCTCTAGGCATGGCAGGAAACACCTGTAATTTCAGCATTTTAGATTATGGGAGGAAGAGCTCTGCAAGTTTGTGACTACCCTGGGGTATACAGAGAGACCCTGTCTCGTTTAAGAAAGAAGAAAAATAACAAAGGACCCTTGGCATATGTGGTGGTACATGCCTATAATCTAAGCAATCAGGAGGCTGAATGATTAAGAGTTCTAGGCAGAGCCTGGCATTGGTGGTGCACACCTTTAATCCCACCACTCGGGAGGCAGAAGCAGGTGGATCTCTGTAAATTCAAGGCCAGTCTGGTCTACAGAGCTAATCCCAAGACAGCCTCCAAAGCAATACAGAGAAGCCTTGTTTCGAAAAACCAAGGGTTCCAGGCTATCCAGGCTAGTCTGAATAAAGTCTCAATAAAATAACAAATAATAACAACAATAAGAGAATCAAAGGACCTTGGCAGACAGCTCTGAGAAAATTTCTCAGTGCTTTGAAAAGAGAGGTGAGGAAATCCTTTTGTCAAGCTTAAACAACTTATCCTAGAGCCCTAAATACCTATTACATTAAATTAATGTCTTGGATATGAATTTGATCGGTCTTGTGGTTTTATTAGTGCTGAATGAATAAATTTACCTTGGTTTTATGATTTTATAAGAGCTATATTCCTAGGAATCTAAACCCATATTCTTTAGTGCATTCTAAGGTTAGGGTAATTTGGATTTTTATTCCTTTGGCTTTAGAGACCCCACTTTAAGAGAAAAGAACATAAAAGGGAGATGAGATGGGAGAAGAAAATCTTGCACATTTATTTTCACTTATGCAGAGGCATGTGGACCCACCCATTTCAGAGCTGTGAGTGTCCCTTTTAACAGCATTCTACAGGAAAATAAATCATTCAACACAAGTTTTAAAACCAAGGACGAAAGTTATATATAAAATGACTTTAAAAATGGAAATAAATTTATTATGAAATGAAACCAGGTATGGTGGCTCGTTTGTTAATACAACACTAGGGAGGCAAAAGTGCATTCAGGAGTTTAAATACGGTGTGGACTACATGAGTTCCAGGCCAGCCTAAGTAAGCTACAGAATAAGACTTACCTCATAAAACAATTTAGAAAGAGACAGATGGTGGTGGCATATGCCTTTTGTCCCAGCACTTGGGAGGCGGAGGCAGGCAGATCTCTGAGTTCGAGGCCAGCCTGGTCTACACAGTGAGTTCCAGGACAGGCTCCAAAGCTACAGAGAAATCCTAACTCGACCGCCCTCCCTCAAAAAAAATTACAAAGAATAAAAGAGAAACCCCATGTTGCTAATAGAAGCCAGATTCCCACCAGCTTTGGGACTGAAAAAAAGGAAAGCATACAACAAATTCAGTTTTTTACCTTTCCTAACAGTTGTTACTCATGTGCCATCAATGAATGCCTTACCTCTCGGTGTCTATCTCGGTCTCGAGACTTCTCTCTCACCCAGTCAATTGTGTTGAAATCATCATAGGTCCCTACACCAGGGATTGGCTCCTCCAAGAAGTCCATGATCCTATTTGAAGAGCCTATTCCACCACCATTGTATGACTTGTTTCCTGTGTGAATAGCAAACAGACATTAGTACATCAGTCAAAAAATTGTAATATCCCCATAAACTATCCAATGATTACAGTTTAGGTGTGGTGATGAAGCAATACAATCACCTACTGGGAATATCCATTGCATTCAGTTTCTGTGGTCTAGGCTCAAATGAGAAGTAGCTAAAGGCTACAAGTGGACAGGGACCCAGGACTGTGGTAGTAAAAAGAGAAATAAAAAAAGCTGGTATGTAATGGAAAAAGTATCTACAGAACAAAGGCCAGGAAGGCGCTTGGAGCAGTTTAGGTATTTCACTTCATGGAAAGGAGATGAAAGTCTCCAAGGTCTTTGCAAATGGATCACACCAGAACCATCTTAACTTTGAAAAGCAGTAATTCAATACTGTGAGGTAGCTTCTGCCTGGTTGAAGACTTGAAAGAAAGAATGCTGGCCTCTTCAAAGAGTTAAGCTGGTTGGAATGTACAAATTTTCCCTCCATTGATAGAATGCTTTGATCTCCAATATAATGGGCTGGTAGAAACTTTTTCACAGTATGTCAGAAAGTCAAATATTTACAAACAGAGATTTAGTCAACAATGGTTAGCTTCACAATGAATTGTTCTTCCTTAATCCTTCAACTAAGCAATAAAGCAAGATCTGAGTGCACTCACTAATTGTGGTTCTTAAGTCTTCTGGGTGTTTAGTTTTTCCATTACAGTTACTTATGTGCATATATGCTTTATCTTCTTTTTCTAACCCTCTCCACTATGTCTTTTTTCCACTTTAAGTTTCACTACATCACCCAGGCAGGCCTAGAACTTGTGATCATCCCATCTCAGCCTCCTGAGAAACTGGTATAAGAATGTGTCACCATTTCTTGCTCTCCACACTGTCTTAGCACATATGTGATAGTCAGTAAACATCAGATGAACCAAGATGCATTCAACAAATGGCAAGGATGAGGCAGTATTTAAACTAAGCAGTTGTACTGACACATGGTAAAGTATTGCTTATAAACTTGTTCAAAATATTTTGGCAACATCATCTGATTGAACAAATATTTTGCTAGTAAACTAAAAATGTAAAAACAGCATTGAGAAATCTATATAAATGCACACAGAGAGAATGCAGAGTAATTCCATCATTTAACTCACACAGCCAAATCTCACATTTGCAGCACAAATCTTGGCAGGAACAATGCTTCGTCCAGACTATTTGGTAACGAACCCCTCATCAGTAAATGGCCACCTTGGCCTCAGCTGACTCTGTCTCCATTAGCCCCTTACCTAACTCTACTAGACAACTTTAGCATTCTCATGACATAAGTATGAATGAACAAGATAAATTGAACCTGGTTTACCAAACAAGTCTGTTGAATGCCTAATTCAGCACACCTTTTACAAGCAATTCACAGACTTGAAAGGAAAAGCTCAGCAGAGCCCTAATCATCTTCAGGTGGGTGAGTCACCGAAGTGGTGTGTAGGAGGTGAACAAGTTAATCTTAAAACCTCAAACCAAAGTCCTTTTCCTATCTTCTCTTGTACCTGGCTATAAAATGGATGTCTGCTGAATCACCACCCCAGCATTTCCTATCATATCAGTGATAAAGACGAAAGCTGCTGTGTTTGAGAGCTTGGTGGGGGAAAGCCAGCTAGGAAACAAGGGCAGAAAGAAAAGAAAGTATGTGGGAAGGAGGGAGCTGAATCAAGCTGTTTCCATTCTCAAGGAAATGCTGACACGAACGCAGGACACTACACAACCAGAAACTGGCTCCTCAAAGCAGGTTAATGCTTCCATTGAATTTGCTCTAGTTTCAGAGTTCTCCTTTCAGGAAGAAAAAAAAAAATAGAAAGGATTTTGTGAAAGATTCTGAGAAGCATCAGATAGCTCTCTAATTACGTTATATACCAAATGAGCTCCTCCACCACCCCCAGCTTTAAGGCAAAATGAAGATCTGCAACAGCGTCCTGGCAGGAAAGAGAGAATCCTATTACATCACTAGGTAACATGAGCACCACCGCATCCTCCTTTGTCGTCTGTCTCCTGCTAGAGACGCAATTATCAGGCCCCTAGAACAGTGCAGGCAGTGATTAGAATCCTACTACAGACTGCTTGAAATTCTCCTGATCCCCTGCTCCCGGAGCATGCTTCAGTCCTGGGCTGGGCTCAGTCTGCTTACCTTGGATTACAGTTCTCTTTTTTTCTGTCTCAAGGAAGAAATAACCTCGGCAGCCCGCATTTACTCATTTAGGTTGAGGCGCTTTTACAGAAGGAGGCCCGCGCTAGGGTGCTTTACAAGGGCACTTGCTGCTTTCTCTGCTTTTTCACAGCAACAAACGCCACCTAAAGAGCTACCAGTGCTCCTGGTTGGTCAGAGTGTGATGTCACCACTGAGATCACATGACCAGACCCTTGGACCGGCCTTAGAGAAAGGAAGATTTTCCAACCTAACACAGAAGCCTTAAAGATGTAGTCTCATCTAAACAAATGCCATCAAACTGGTAGGTTGGCGCATTGGCTCAGAAAATTAGAGTCTAGACAAGTTTCACACGTCATACCTCATTTAGCAGAAAGAACCAGACGTCAAAGTAGAAATATCCAAAAACTTTGTCCCCTAATTTAAAAGGGACAAAGGTAAATACAGAAAAGTCTTTTTAAATGTGCCACTAACTTGGACTTGGTGGCATATGTTTGTAATTCTAGGACTTAGGAAGCTAGCAACTTTGCAATCAGCCTAGGTGACAGAGTAAGACCCTGTCTCCAAAAAAAAAAAAAAAAAAAAAACAATGAAAAGGAATTAAAACTCATAGCAACAGCATGTATAAAACCTCACAAACACAATACTGAAAGATTCCAGACATAAAAGACCTCCTAACATCATGACTCTATTCCTGAACCCAATCACAGGCAAGCCTAAATTTTAGGATACAAATGATTGCATTACTAGCAGAAGGAAGAAAATGACAAAAATAAAGATAGCATCTACCACAGAAAGCTTCGGTCTGTAAAGGCTTTTGAAATGCTGACCATGATCCTTGATCTGGTGATAAGTGATCATCTTTTAATCTTCCTTCAAAGCATACACGTATGTATTGTGTGTCCATTTTATGTGCATATTGTAATTAAAGAAAAACATGATGAGGACAGGTGCACTGGCACACACGTGAACTCCCAATTACTTTTCGAGGCTGATGTAGAAGGATCACTTGAACCTAGGACCCTGGGTAGGCTAGGACAACATAGCAAGACCCTGTCTCAAAACTAACATTGTTTTGAAATCTGGGGAGATGTTTCAGTGGGTAAGAGTTCATGCTTCACAAGCATGTGAACATGATTGTAAATCCCCAGCATTCACGTAAAAAGCTGAATCCAGCTGTGTATGCTTGTAGATTCAGCACAAGGGGCACCAAGACAAGTGAATTCCAAAATACTGTTCAGCCAGCCTACCTGAAATGAACTTCATATTAAGTAAAACCCAGTCTCAATGGGAACAAAGCAAAGAGCAACAGAGGAGGGTACTTGATAGCCTTCTCTTGACTCTGTGTGGTGGGTGGGTGGGTGGGTGGGTGTGTGTGCGCGCACATGTGCATAGGTAATCAGCCCCTCCATGAGTGTGCACAAATACATAAAAACATACACAAATACACAGAGTTGTTTGGAGAGCTGGAAGTTCTGATGTAGAACACACATTTGGCATGTCCGAGACCCTGGGGATTAGTCATTAGTATCACACTTTTAGAAAAGAAAAATGCAATAAAAACTAAGTTGCACATCAAATTACAACAAAGGCTATTTTTTAAAATATAGGATTTCACGTGGCCCAGGCTGGACCTCAAATTTCCTATGTAGCTAAGAATGACCCTGAACTTCTTTTAATCGTGCTCAGTACTCAGTACATCCTGAGTACTGAAATTACAGCATGCTGGGATTACAGACATATGCTACTACACCCTTTGTTGCATTTAGAATTAAACCCAGAGCTTCATGCTTGTTAGTCAAGAACTCTACTGACAGTACAACACCTCCAGCCCCGAAGTCAGTTCTTTAATAGCACCTAACCACTTTGAAACCATAGAGTGCAACCAAGAGGATATAGAGGGATATAGATATATATTAGTTGGTAGACCACTAGCCCGGCAGACGTTGGATTCAATCCTTAGTACAGAAAAAAATGCAGGGATAGAAACACATAGCTGCAATTCTGATACTCAGGGGGCTGAGGAAGGAAGAGTGGTGCAATCTTGTACACAGCCTGAGCTATATGGTGAGGTCTTGTCTTAAGAGAAGGGGGGGGGGAGAGAGTGGGAGGGAGGGACGGGGGGGGGGGGAAGGGCAGGAAGTTGGGAAGTAGGGCAGTTAGAGAAGTAGGTAGGCAGAGAATGAAGGGTGAGGGACTCTTAGTAGTGCTCTCAAAAAAAGCAACATGGTCTGTAATATTCATTAATCCAACCTTGCTGAGTAGCTACTGCAACCCTGACAATAAATTCACTATTACAGCTTCATTATTTTAAAGGCTTTCCCTTCTCCGGCCTTATTCTGAAGGCTATTTTTAAGCAGGTCTTAATTAATTGTGCAGTAAGGCCAGCCCAGTAAAAAAAAAAAAATTAATAAAACTGTCATCTCCCAACTCCCTAAGTGAATCAGCAGGACTGCTACCGTTTAACATTAACCCAGTTACAGTACGCTCCAATAATCAGACCCTACATGCAGGACTTGGAAATGTTATTAATCTCATCAGTTCCTAAGGCCCAATACATCCTGAAATGTTAATGCAACAAAACTTTATGAAGTGTAAGACACTGAATGAGTTTATATACTCTTTTAGTTCATCATAATTATATCTTGATGAACTAATATAGCATTAATGAACAGAATTCAAATGGAGTGGAAATTACTATTAAGAGGCAATGAGTTAAAACACTGCAAAAAGCAACAATCTCTTATAAGCCTACCATGATCCTCTTACACAACTAAATGTTTAATTTATCAGGTTAAAAGCAAACTATATGCCCAGCTT